CAGAAATTGTGTGCATCGCAGTTTATGGGTGGTAGTCTTGTGCGAATCAAAGACGTTCAAAAGAACGTCAAACAAAACCCCGTAGCGGGTCTCCAGGATTCTGGGCAGCAAAATCCTGTATGTACTGAAAGACCAACCGCAACATTGCATCCAACTTTTCTACAACTTGCTTGAAATCCACCGCTATTGGAGAAATTTCCTCCTCATCATCAGAACCAAAGTCTAAATCATCCTCATCCTCGTCACCATTAGCGTCGGTGGCCATGCCAGTTTGCGCCTTACTCCATACGCTATCCGGATTATCCGTCTCCGTAGTAAAGACTGTTCGTTGGACTTCTTCCCATAAATCATCGTCCAAATCATCCAATTCCACCTGAATTTCGACCTAAGAATGAATCAACATGTGAGCGCGTGAGATGTCTGGAAATCGGGACAGAACGATCAAATGATCGATTGAGACAACGTTTTCCCATTTTACTTACATCAATTTGCACAATACGATCTATTATAAGCGCCAAAACTTGATCTCGCAATACAGGAGCATATTCTACTATGCGTAGGACATTTCGAAGGTAGTATACGTGTACGTCTAGGGCTTCGCGTTTGTGAGGAAAATTTTCGGTGATGATGGAAAGCATAAAAGATGGACCGGTGGGTATCAGTGCGAGGACACTTCGAAGCATGTTATGCACACGATCAAAGTGCAGTGAGGGCGCTATTGACGAGTTACCTCCTACAACCACCAAATGCCACTATTAATGAATGTTGCATCGTCGTAGATTCTCATGACTCTCACCTTCACGGAGGTTTCGTACAAGCATTCTCGTTACAGGGGCTACATAAACCGCATGGGCGCTGACAAGGTTTTGAATTAAATGGCCATAGACGGCCACGGTCTCGTCTTCGCACGACACCCAATCCAGTGAAAGGATCGCGTCCACCATGTCATGGAAAGTGGGTGTAAGGCTGGAAACTATTTGAGAGAAGGCGCGTAGCCAATACACCAGGGAGGATGAAGGGAGACAACCGGATTGGGGTGGTCGTCGCGACAAGATATCAATAATAATAAGGTAAAGTGAAGAGTCACCCTACATGAATTCCAGCCAGATATACCGTTAGAACATGCACCCTGCGGCCGCAGCTGGAACTCAGGAAACAGAACAGAGAGACTGACCTCCAATTTATTCCGTAAAGCAGTTCCAATTTGTTTCACAATAATGCCCACATCTTGTACATTAAGCGTGGAGGTCCGCTGATTGGACGATACCTCGGCCTCAACGGACATAGGCGATAGCGGAGCGGGCATATCGAATCGAACGCTCTTCTGCGGTTTCACTGCACCCGCCTTTCTCAAGATAGTTGGAGAAGCAGTGACGAGTGGGCGGTCTATCGATACCATTGTGCGCCGCTCCCAATCGGAAACCGTGATTGTCGACTCCAATGCCTGTCTTTTGATGTCCTCCCCCTCCGTCTCGGCTATTGATAAAACTATTTCTAGACCTGTTCGCCTACCACCTTCAGCAAAATCCTGGAGGAAAAGTCAAGATAGGATATGCTGCTTGCGTTCTGACAAAACAAACCAGGCACGTGAAACGTCATTGATTGGTTGATTGCTTCAAGTATTTTACCCTTATATAGCCACATTATATGGTGAGGTAATCAACGTTGAGGGTCGGAGTGCGCCGATCAGGCATTGGAGAAAAGTATCCGAATCGACCAAAAATGACTTTTTGGAAAAAGTTGCATCGCGGTGATAGAAACATAAAGTCCAACCCCTCTTGATGTGAATTACCCCAATTTTCTCTTTTTATCCCATCTCATCATGCAAGCGCCGGCCTCACCTCCCCCAACACCACCCATCAAGGTCCTTCACAAAGTTCAAACCCCAACAACACATCTTACAAAATGGCATAATTCAACCCAGCGTCGACGAGGGCCATCCGACATTGTGTTTGGAGATCATCGACATTTTCCGCACACAGATCAATTCCTATCAACAATGCGCACTGATTACGACGGGCAGCGGCTAGATCCAGCGAACATCAAAGTGGCTCAGGAAACAGCCGCAAATAGATGTGGCCCTGATGTCCATGTTCCAGTGGGCCCAGCTGGAAAGCCATTGGGAATCAATACGGCAGATAAACGAGAAGGGCATATAGCGTTTGGGGATCGGAGTAAGGTCTCTGATTCACATTTTGAGAGTGTAACTGATTCGAGCTACAAATGTCCACCGCCAATAACGGCGAAGATAAGTCGAGGTATGTCCTGAATCAATAGTTCAAAGGGCTACTGGAATTATTGCTGACTGTTTCATGTGTAATTTTTAGGCATGGGTGCTGGTGAATCTGATATCAATGTCAAGAACCTCCCTCCGTCGCAGCAGTTTCACCATAAGGCCCTGACAGCTATTAGCGCAGCTCACGTCGGCTTGGAAACCCGCAAAGACCTACCCATCGATGACAAACGGTTCCACAATTATGTGACAACTCACCAAGCTGCTTACGCTACAAAAGGTACCATGCACGATGTGGCGGAGGGCAAGGGACAAGCTGGCGGTTATTGTAGAAACAATCGTGCTAGTGATATCCCGTTAGGTGATCCCGCCAAGGAACGAAACTATGACACTATGGCCCGAAAGTCGTACATTGATCATGGGCGTGATGCTTACACTAAACCAAAGATCATTCCACCGCCACGACCAGCCCGTAATCTGCTGGCAATGGATGCGCGGACGAACAATGAAGACGCTACATTTACCTCCACAACGGCGCAAACATACAAGGGTCATACCATCCATCCTATTCACCGGGAGACCCAAGTAAACCCAGGACAACTCAGCAGCAAAAGCTCCATTGCATTGGGAGAAGAAGGAGCGCAATACCGTCAAACAGAAACGTCCGTTTCTCGTCGCGACTATGTGCATGACCCGCAAGCTTCCCAAGCTGCTCGTCACTTGGCACGATCTTCCGTTGCTGATCGGTTGTTGAGCAAGCCAGGGATTCACACAGCCATCCAACCTAACCCAGTAGCTCAAAGAGACTTGGAGTCAAGCACATCGGCATCCTACCGGGTACCCGAACATATGGCGGCCTTAAAACCACTTGCTAATAGGCGATCGGCGGGAGTCCGCTCCATTGCAGCTATGGGGACCCGCGAAGGAAACGGCCACAGCAAGGCAGATATGATGGCTGTATCGACTGTCCCAACCGGTGATCCAACTCATTTCAATTTCAACACATCCACCACCACGAATTCCACCTTTTATCAGCCATATGAAAATTTCAAAATGATACCGCATCCCATTCTAGGCGCCAACATCACAAAATCCAGTTTCAAATTCAGCGAACCCGAAGACGAACTGAAACCAGCGGATCGTTTCCGCTCTTCTACACATTCTGCGTTCATTCCACACGACGTAACCGTGGATCCGGTCGTACACCGTCGCCCACCACGTTCCACACTACATCTCGACGGATCGGTCGAGGCGTTACCGATGTGGGCGAATGAAACAACGCAACAGGCCCACTATCGTCCTCCAGTCACTTCAGCTGTCCATGACCGACACGGTAGGTATATGGCCGTGGCACCAAAATCGACAGCAAAGCCTCTCTTGTTTCCGGTGAAGACAGCGCACATCACGCCTGATCAAATATACCAGTCAACGACACACAAGTTTTTCAGGTCGCGTGAAGGTCTGAACTTTGAGCATGGGGAAAATATGGTGGATAGAAAAGTCAGAAGGGGAATGAGAGGCAGCTCGGTTCCCTTTGGTGATCAAACCGTCTCCTACTACAAGGAGCTGACAGTAAAGAAAGGACCAGAGCCAGTAGTTGCAGCGTCCTGATCATTTTTTGTTGATGCTGTTCGCGTAAACGATGGTAAAAACTAGCATGTGGCAAAGCTATCTTGTTAATAAAATCACAGGAAGAAAAATAATATATCATTCATCTTCAAAACCCAATTTTTCTCTGGCATATTCTACAAATGAGTCAATCAATACAGGCCATGCACTATCTGTGTCGTGATTGCTGAAGTTTTCGTCAGATGTTCGGATGAATTCAAGTAACTGTCCATGAAATGGGAAAAAAGGATCTGAGCATTATGCGAAGACTAATTAGCCTACAGCACCAGCATATACCAGATTCCACGTGTCTTTGCTGATTGCTTTCCCATGTTTTTCCTGTGCGCAGAACTCATTTTAACGGCTTCAATCTATGTAGTTGAGGAAGAAACCTTTACGGGACATACCCGAAGAAACTCGACCCATAAATCTAAGTGCTTAAACTTGTCCTTCAATAATAATTCCCAAAAAGCAATTGCAGTATCTAGCCCTGTAACAGTACCCGCAAAGAAAGAGATATTAGGGTATATGAATTTGATATGGACACAGAGCCATTTACCTAAACTCTTCTGGTTTTCTGCTCGCGCAAAGCTGAAGGTATAATTATAAACGTCCCTGAATTTTGACGGGTCTTTCAGCTCTTCCCGTAAAGATGGAATGACTTCTCGCATTTTTTCGATTGTATCACACCTATCGGGTGCATGCACGAGATCAGCATAAAGGCTTGAAATCAAAGTTCGAATCAAGATCCTACCCCAAATTTGTCCACCCTTCCATCCATCCCTTTCTTCGAAAGTCACACATTCGAGGACTTTGTAGGTGCCAGGCTAGTACGAGGGTTACGACATCGGTTGGGTCAACTTCTAGGTCATCTAGTTCCAGCGTGTGCTACCAGTTAGTAATCTTGGGCCAGCAAAAGGTCATGGTGTGTGTACTTACTACATAGCGATTCAGTGCCATCCACCAGGATAGCATCTTCGTCGGGATCTGAAAGGGTTACAATCAAGCTCTGTAAGAGTCGGGGTATACCATACGAACAAAATTTCAATCCTACTGACCTTTGTATTTGTCGAACAGCGCGGACAGTTTACGTTGATCAGCGCCCGCCCATGTTCGCCCATTTGCAGTTGCGCCACCCGTTGCGAAAAATGCGTCTACAGCTGCCTCCAAGTTCCAGTCTACCGATGACAAAGATTCGCGGTCATTGGTTTTTCCCTCAATCGCGCTATAAGTCTGACAAGTGGAATGCTTACTGTTTTCTTTCAGAAACTTCTGTGCGGTCTTGTCACTATAAGAGCCGGGCGGAAAAGGGTTATATTAGATTTAGTTCCATGATAATGGTCCAAGGTGTTTCAACTAGGTCATTGTGGACTCCCTTCTCAATGCTCAGTAAAGTATATCAGAGCTGTCCGAATGTTATTTTCGAGTGGTCTAAGCGTTACTCTCCTGGATAATACGCCTCCCACTTTCTATTGTCATGCCAAATTCCCAAGCATTGTACGTGTTCACCGTTACTTGGTTCCCGCCTTACTTTGCATTGGTGAATCCCACAAACTGTTTGATCTTTTCTCGTTGGGCAGGCTTGATTGATCCCCCTGTGAAAAATGACTTAAAGGTGTAGATGTCGATTAGCAAACATGCCCATCTTGATCCTTTGGGCGTAGTTGAACTAGTACCATGTCTTTCTGACGTGATTTACTTTCAATCCGTGATCGGAGAGCTGGTGCAAAGTAGATTCGACAGAATGGCTGTAACAGATCGAGTACGTGATGCGCAGGTCAGCGGCGTGATGTTCTTTCCAATCCCGGTCAGACTTGCACACCATCCAATCCGTAATGTCGGGAGCAGCGCACTTTGTTAATTTAAAATTTGCCATCCGATCGACGCTTACCTGGCTGACGTAATCGCACTGACCTCTGTCTTAATTGTGGATATCGCACACCGTCAAATGTCGAAAAGGCATGTAATGGATATAGTCAGGAAAAGAGTTACTACACTACCGTCACAAACAATGCTGGCTGTTGCTGGGTAATACTCCAAAGCCCCAACATCCGGTAAGCTATTTCTAATCATCCTGCTTTGTAGTCGCCTAGAAGGTGGAGCTCGATCCCTGCGGTATCGGGAATAAAGAAAGCCAAATACCATTGGATCAAACCAGTAGATGCAAACCAGCCGGGGAACTAGACAGCAATGATTGAAGGGCCTTTGGTAGCGGACGCCGTGTCCGAGGTGGTTGTCGTCGGGGTAGCTCCAGGGAAGAAAGGTAAGACCTGCAGAGATGTCAAGAACTGATGAAGAAGCGAGGCACAATAGCAATCTTGAGAACGAGAAAGGAGCAGAATGATACACGAAGGAATGGATACTGCCTGCATCTTCCTTCATATTCTGAGGGCACGTGACCGTGCTGATACGACATACGTTGCAAATGCCCCGACCCAATGCTTTTCCCTTCCCTTATTTCCGCTATCTGCTTTGTATCCAGATCATATCTCCTCAGAATTGGTGCATCGTTTTTATCCCAATATACTGCACATCATTCCAATCTATTGCCCCTTTATGACTTTTTAACTCGGTGACAATTACCGAAGATAGTAGTGTTTTTACACACTGTTAATGCAAGGTTTAATCCTTTTAGCTTTTACAATAATGGTCAGCAAAGGATCACGGATAAAGCTGAAATTATTCATGTGTCCATTTACCTGAGCCTGCTTTTATACATCGGTGGTAGTTCCTCATGTTTGAGGATACTTCCTTACATAGAAAAATAAGTACTTTTTTCCAATGGTCACTTCCATAGGATAAGAGTAACATTCAACTGTATCTTCTTTAATTTTCCTAACTGATGATTGTCCACCAAAATACAGTACTGTAGTCCGTCATCATGCACGTGACCACTCTCACGATCGGGGAAACCAACCAGATGAGCATGACTGTTGATCCGCGATCTCGTCGCCGAGATTCATCTCACTTGTTCTCATGTCTGATCCTGCTGTTCAAGTTTCGAACCTCACCTTTGGTTTCGGTGGTCCGTCCCCGATTTTGAAGGACCTTTCCTTCTCCGTTCCTCGCGGTGGCCGTTGCCTCTTGGTCGGCGCAAACGGGGCGGGTAAATCAACATTACTGACGATCCTCGCAGGCAAGCGTTTAGTCAAAAATAGTGGAGTGAGAGTAATTGGGAAGAATCCTTTTGATGATGGAGCACAGGTCAGTATAGTGCATGCGACCTCTTTGTCTACCCTGAGTTGCAGATTATCGGTCGAAGTTTCACACTTATCATGACGTTTCTATGCAGAATATCACTTATCTCGGCACAGAATGGGCTCATAACCCTATTGTGCGCCGGGACGTTCCTGTATCTCGTCTGCTCAGATCTCTTGGCGCACAGCGGTATCCAGATCGGTGTGCGGAACTACTGGAGATCATGGACGTGGACCCTGACTGGCATATGCACGAAGTATCCGATGGTCAACGGCGCCGTGTACAAATTGTTCTAGGTACTGGGATGAGATTTTGCTTTTTGTCTGCAATGGACAATTGAGGATGTCAACTTTGGCTCATATTATGTGTTATTCTATGCACAGGTCTGATGGAGCCATGGTTGGTACCCCAGCTCAGTAGATTTGCGCCTTCGTGTCGCCTGCTTATACTCTCTACCTGCAAGGGAGCTTCTATTGTTGGACGAAGTCACCGTCGACTTGGACGTACTGGTGCGCGCCGAGCTTCTCTCGTTTCTGCGCAAAGAAACCGAAACACGCAACGCAACCATTCTATACGCAACCCACATCTTCGATGGCTTGGGAGGATGGCCCACGCATGTCGCACACATAGTAGATGGGGTGGTCGATGTAGTCAGAGACCTAACAAGTCCTTCTGGGTTTCCAGAGCTGACGGAAGCTAAACGGACGAGAATGGAACAGGCTGGTGCAGTCGGTGCATCCGTGCTGGACAACTCGCCCTTGTTGATGGTGGTAGAGAAGTGGCTCAGAGATGATAGTAGTAGGATCCGCAAGGAAGGAAGGAGAAATCAAGAAGGGAAAGTGATGACCAAGTGGGAAATTCTCAGTGAAAACATGAAAGAGGTACTTGCCTTCCTTGCGCTCTGTGCTAATTTTTACGGCGCAATTTAATCCTAACCTGTGGTCTTTTCAGTATGGCGACAAGTTCTATAATTATTGGAATTGAAACCACATCAAAGAACGGTAACATGATGCACTGCAGATGATGCCTGGATAGCTTATAGATGCAAGTAGGCATACACCATTTTGAAGGGTAAATTATCATAATAGTGATTGACATGAGAAATGCACGAGACGGCATTTCATATCGCGTCATGTGTTCTCAACGGTACGCCCTTACTCGCTCATTGAACGCATACACCGCTGTATATCCATAATGATGATGTTACCGCCCCGAAGAATATATGAACAAGTATGAAGATATGCTGAAGCAAACAATTTGCTCGCCTAACGCCGTTGTCCTGCATCCCTCACCGGTGTGCCGCAAATGGACACAGGGTATCCTTGCAACCCTCAAGCTTCAGTCGTGTAGTAGGTCGTTCTGGAGCATTCTGTCAAGTCCCAATCTTGCCATGAGCACTTACTTTCACTTGGAGACTGTATATACGTTAGGACTTACGCTCCGCAATTTTCCGCGCCAAGTCGGCTTTCTCGAAACAATCGTCCGACCGTAACCCCCGTTCTTGCAGAATGTTTTTGAGATCTTTCACAGAGTGTCCCATGAGATCTTCATAACTTTCCTTGACAAGAGGCAGTGCGCGTTGCTTGGGCATGTTGCGGGATGTAGCCTGTTGAGCCAAGGCTGCCAGTTTACTCTCGAATTCAGGGTCCGCGGGGTGACCTGCCCAAGCAATGCGTCCGTTGGTATCAACGAGAAAGACATGAGGGATACCACGGGCACCAGAGGGTATAAAGAGCTTATTGCGCGCATCATGCTGTGCATCTATCGCAACTGTGTAGTCCATACTGGACCCTTGCGAATTGACGAAAGATCGAATTTTCTACAAACAGTACAGTCCAATGTGAACCGGCTGGGTTGAGCAAATGCGGGCAAAAATTATGATGGCGTTCACAGCAAACAAACAAGCTATTTACATTTTCATCATTCTCATCTGTGATCCCGATGAAATAGACATCTTTGTCGCGATACTTTCGTTGAAGCTCGGATAGATGCTTGAAATGCCATTATAACATCAGACGAGGTCGGGGAAACATCGATTGTGTACACATAATACATACTGGGAAGACTTGACGGCAAGGTCCGCACCTGTGTTCCGATGCTCAGAATTAACTGTCACGGCACTGCCGCGAGGAACAATCGATTTCTGATCTTTACCAAGTTGCCCAAAACTCGATAACGAGAACACGTTTGTGACCTTCAGGGGCACTGGCCGATATCTGAACAGGCTCGCCCTTGACGAATAGGAGTCCCGAGATGGTGGGGAGCGGTTGCCCTATCAGTTGCGACATTGTTGTTAGATGGAAATACGTTTCGAGGAGGAGAAACGAAATAGGTGTTTGGTCATCAAAATCCATGCACGTGAGAGCCTGTTGCTTACGTGTTCGAAATTCCGCCAAGACGTCTATTTACGGACATCGGAGGTTTGCTCCCTGAGCGTGGCTTCTTCGCTAGATAAAGCTTTCCCTTTTTGATGCGTTTAGATTAAACGTTTGCTTGCACGCTTTTCATACAACTCACCTTGAAGATATGTCTACCGGGGGGGCTCGCAAGGTGGTAGATGATGAGCATCAGCGGACGGCCAAGAGTTATACTGAGCATTTTCTCCATCGTAACTCATCTTTAGCCAGCGAGACAGCCCCTGGGAGTATTTCGGTTAGCACAGCTTCTTGTTATACGTGCTAAGGAAAACACCTAACTAGTAAACCGTCCATCATTGCACTCTAGAGGTCATGAGGGGACCGTATACAGCATTGATGTAAATGGACCCGATGTGATACTAAAACCTCCCCAAATGAAAAAAAAATCCGGGAAGGTAGAACCTCTCGGAGAGCGTGGAGATGAAGCTGATAGGAGCGTGACCCTGGTCTCAGGTGCGAGCTCTTTGAGAGATGGATTGCTAGGCTATTTCCAACACCTGATGCTCACATTTTGATTTAATAGGATCCCACGACCAAAGCATCCTGGTCTGGAATGTATCTTTGGACACTCTATCGAAGAACGCGATACTAACCAAGGTATAGTTTGCTTCCTGATGGTCTTACTACAATAAAACACGCCCATTGACGGCTACCATTCAGATGGAGCGAATACGGACTTTACGAGGTCATACGGCTCATGTCTATAGCGTGGAAGTCTTACCCCATCCGCGTGGAAAGCCGCGGTATATGGTATCCGCCGGAGATCAAACAGTGCGATATTGGGATTTGGAGGTCTGTAGGTGGAGAGCAAGGATCTACTGCTAGCAGTATCCTCATGAATGCAGAAAGACAGGGGAAAATCTGAAAACACTTTCAGGGCACACAAACTACGTTGCATGTTTGCGGACCAGAGGGAAGAGGACTTTTTCAGGATCCTGGGACATGAGTCTTCGAAGTTGGAATCTCGAGGTACAGTCTTTATATTTCCACGCAGCCTACTTGAACCTCACCAACATCCTTCCATAAGACTTACAAGCCCATGCACGTCTTTAAAGGACACCGCAACATTGTTAATTGCATAGATGTGACGGACACGGACGTTTTCAGCGGTAGCTGGTAATTAACGAGGGCAACCCAGTATCTAATCACCACCCTAACTCCCGTTGCGACTCTCCTATAGGGATATGACTGTAATACAATGGAGTCGCTCTGTATGTTCTTTACGTTCGTCCAGATTAGGCTTACTGAAGAGTTGGAGTGGCTGATATCTCAACCTAAGACAGACAGGAGAGCCAGTAAATGTTTATCGAGGGCATACGGATGGAGTCCAGTGTCTCCAAGTCTCCGGCGACTTGTTACTTACGGGGTGGGTCTCCCATTCCTTCTGTTTTTAGTGGCACTATTCGCGAAAAGCAACTCTTGACAAAGCCTACTCTTTGGGATAGATCTATGGATAGAACGATTCGAGTATGGAGTCAAAAGGTAGGTCAATTCATGATTACAACAATCAAGACGACCGCGTCTAATGAATGCCTCTAAAAGACGGGCAAAACCAAAAGAATTCTCAATGGTCACGAAGGCGGTGTAGAATGTCTACACTTAGTAGGCCGAACGTGCTTCTCGGGATCTTACGATAAAACCATACGGTGAGTTACCGCGAGCATCTGAGAATATCACTGCTTGATGCTCATCGAACGGATACATTCTTGATCCCCAGTTGTTTCAAAATTACGGTCAGTTGGTACTATTGTGGAGTGGTTTATCGTAGCGCGACTCGCTAAATCGCATTTTCAGACTGGAGAATGCATAGCCATTTTTGAAGGGCATACAGATGGAGGCAAGCGCAGTCGGATTATGTTCATGTTAATCTCACTACTGATCTCT